GAGAAAAAGCAAGGCTTGCCGAGAATGACAACTTAATTGAGCTACGAAATTAAGAAGAATTAAGATACCTGAATCAGGACCCGCTTTCCAAGTCATATCACATTTCCGCGATAATGTTGTTAAGACAAATTGCTTGAGAATTCAAAACAAAAGACATGGTACTTTTTTGACTAACAGTAAAGACTGTTTAAGTAGTAGGTAGAAAAAAATATTTTTCCGAACTTTTCAATGTGAACACAACAATTAATACAGATATTCTATAACCAATACCAATTCTTCACATTAACAATACGAAACTCTCAGACCAGGATATTAGAACTAATTTACAACAGTTCTCTTCCTAGAAATACTTCGTATTCAGCAATATATTTTCTAAAAAGTGATAATATAATTGACGAAAATAGTAGTTGAACTATTTTAGTGATTCGTATATCGTGATCTAACTCTACAACTTGTAGTTTTTCATTTGTTCGCTATTAACTTTCGTATATGAATAGAATATGACACTTAGTGCGAACTTCTATTCTCTTTAAATAATTAAGATTTTTCAGTGGAACGGATTATTTCTTTATTATTACTGATGATGAGCATCAGACGATATATTTTATTTTTGAGTACTAAAAAAAAATTTCTAATTTGAATGATTGATATTCTCGGAATCGTTAAGATTGCTCGTATGTCATTCAAAAAACGTTTGCTGTTCATTTAGCTGCTGTTTCTCTTTCAATAAATCCGTTTTTTTTCGATAGTAAAAATTATTCAACAATAGCTTCGACTAATTGATGAAGTTCTTGTTTAGTTGCCTATCTAAGTTCTACATCATCAATCATCAGATCATCTTCTGTTTTTGTTTATGTATTTTCTTATTTCTGAATACTATTTAATTGTTGGTTCAGTTCCACTTACACGTATTGTTATTTCACAACCATTCTCAAAATAAAATATTATCATTTGTGTTGATGCTGAACAAGGAAGTGTTAGTTTTTTTATCTTTACCTTCACCACAAAAATCAGCTGCAATTTCAATAGTCAAATCTCTAACATCAGTTATATGATAATTAGCACATGTTTTTGGACGAACATATTCTTTATCAGCATCCGACTGAGATTTAATTTTATTTGAATATTGAACAAGAATTGCAGATTCACTACGATGAACTGGTGTATTTTCCTAGAAGAACATAAATCCACTAAAGAAAACTTTGTAAATTTTCTGAAAGATAGAATGTTTAACTTACATAATTTCTTCAAAACCAAAAAGAACATGGTTTTATCATTAAGTAATTGATGTGATATATTTTCGAGCCACTTAAAACCTGTTAATGTATCGATTGTATTAAAATCTTTAACTAAATCATATAAGCATCTTTAACATCAACTGTTGGATTTCGATTACGTCAAGTAAACCAAAGCTACCAATCTATTTAACAAAAGAAAATAATAATTCTTTACTTAAATAAAAGTAAAGCTCCTAATTGATTTCCAGTTAAAATTCTTCAACTAGTTTGTGTTGATCCAGTGATATCTCTTTCAGTTAATGCATATCAATCAACATCTGAATCATTAGGTATAATAAAATCGGCATTATTTTTATTTGCTATTGCAATAGCACATTCAAGTGTTTCTTTTTCTTCTTCTGGATCTGACTGTTGGAAAATTACTAACCAAGATTGTTTTGTTCATCAACTGAAATAAATGGTTGAAATTTAAATGCAACAAATGCTCGTTCAACATGTGATTGATCAATACCATGAACAGAAGTATAAACAAATTTTAATTGTGTTGACGCATTGAATATATATTCAAATAAAGATTTTTTTCTCTCAAATAAAAAATTTCACCTTTTCAACAAGATCAGAAACTAATTTGGAGTTGTTATCTTTGAATATATCTAAAATTCCATGCTTTTCGTTTTCACGGTTCTAAATTAGCTTCAATAGAATCAGCAATATGTGCACATCATTTTTTCAATAAACTTTATAATCATTATCATCTTTTGGATTATGACTTGCTGTTACCATAATACCAGCTTGACATTTTAGTTTTTTTTTGGAATGGAAAATGCAATAGATAGTATTGAAGCTATTGTTGGATCAAATAAATAAACATGAATTCGTTCATGAGCAAATAAAGCTGCTTTCTTTTAACTGACAAATTCAATTATTTTCATTGATAATATCACTTCTCTACCTTCTAGACAAGCCTTCCTATTTCTCTGCAATATGGAATTTATCATTTTTTTTTGAAATATCATTTATCTCATTGAAATCAGGAGAAATACGATTAGAAAGATGCGTAAGTCGTTTTGCAATGAAAGTTTCTGAAAAACAAACTTTTTTAAAAATCAAGAAAAATGAACTAATTTCATCGTAGTACTGTCAATTCATTGAAATTTAGTTTATTAAAAATAAATCGGAATGTGAATTCTATTCATCTATAGGAAAAAAAAACTATAGACAAGATTGTGAAATACTTTTATTTTCTAGAAGCTTACTGTTGTCTTTATATTCTCTTTCTTTTGTATTGTCACCCTAATACAACATATTTCAAATTTTCTTTATTAGACCTTTTTTTAGCGAGAACAACATCTTTTTACATAACTAAACAAGAGTTCAATTAAATATCTCAAACATATTCGAACGATATATTTTCTTTTAAGCTATCATACGTAAGAAGTAACGTTAACGAAGAAAAGTAGCAGTTTTTTCGTTGAAGAAATAATATCTGAATGGTGTCTAAACAAAAAATGTAATACGAGCATTAACTAAAAACGAAAAAAAAAAAATTTTCTTATTTGAACATAATAGTCCGAAACATTAAGATGTGTGGCAATACTTTTCATTTTATCTACTTTAGGAATATTATTATCTTAAGAAACTAAAAAAATATTTTATCAAATATCTTACATTGTTCAAGAGAGTCTATTTGTTCTTTTCTTAACATTTGTACCACTCATGAGGCACATTCAGATCCTATAATTAGATCACCACATTCACTTTTACAAGTATTTTCTTCATTGATTTCATTCCTATCTTTCTCTAATTCGAGATAATTATGATTCATTAGAAATGGAGAAATTGAATAGCAAGAAACAAGGAAAGATAATGTTGGTATGTATGCGTTTTAACTGGAAATGCACGAACAATGTTCTATATATATTGCTAATGAAGAGAGGTCGTACTATAGAAACTGGCATATAGAATTGTGATATTTTAGAATAAGCGACCAATTCGTCTATATTAGTCGTATATGTTCAATAGAATCAATATGAGCGAACAATTTATATTATGAAAAGAATGCATTTCATTTGAAAAAGAAATGCATACAGTTAGGAATAAGGACAATTTTTTTTATTGAAGAAAAATCAACAATACTTTGTATTTTCTGCAAAACAATAATCAAAAATGATTTTATTATAAGAAACATGAAGTTTGCACATAATTATTTTCAATTCCACAACCAACTCAAATAATTCACATTTTGAAACATTTTAATTCTCTGAGAATATCCACATTGAAAAATTGATTTTCATAAATTTTCAGAGGTCATAAAATTACCATCAAATGTGAAAAAAAGACCACTTTTTCATTCACAGTATTTTGATATGTACATTTAAATGTTTAACATTACAATGTTATTTTGAGAAAGTTACTTTTTGATCAGCAAATTTAATTATTGTGACAAAGTTAGTATAACGCAGTTTTTTTGACTTGTTTGATAGACGATACATTCATAGTAGATAACCAATGAATGAAAATAAGAGGAAGAGTATTGAGGGTGACAATTTTGATGAAGGATAGGTATGATGTTGATGGTGTGGGTGAAGAAGGTAAGGAGATCAGTTATCTCGTAATAGGGCTGCGTGCCCATGGTGATTGGAGCACGAATTGAAGCAAAAGTAGACGGTTGGCGCAGCAAGGTTATTTGTGAATTTTACTCTACATTGTCTCTGGTACTGGAGTTTATTCTATTTTGTATTGGCATAGCTTTTATCCTATTATTCTGTTTAACTCAAAGCATTTTTTTCATGTACTTGTTGTTTTTTCTTCTAATAAAAAGAAAATACTAAATTGTTCTAATGGAGCCCTATAGATCTTTTAATTTCTTTCTTTTTATGTGGAAGAAAACTGGTGACACGTTCCATTTTCTTACCAAAAATTAGTCTTGAGGAAAACCTTAAAGGCTCTTATTTATTGTCATTTGTTCGTTCATGTTCATCTCTTTTATAGCGACTGTCATGATTGAATATATCGAACGATATAAAATAAAACGTTTCATATTTAGACTGATACTCTTCTTGAGCAGACGTCTTTCCTTCTCAGTGTCATTATCATTAAAATTTGTTTGAATTGTTAATGATGCAATTAATTATGTTCTTGAAAAACGTTGAATGATTTTTCACTATGTCAACGTTTTAATTAATTTATTATTCTGAATATGTCACAAATTTAAAATGCAAACAAATTTATTGTTTTTGTTATGTTTTGATAAAGCTAAAACTAGTCGCGCAATATATAGAAAAAATCCGACTGAAAAGTTCCAGAAGAAATTTTTCGATGAAAGATTATTGATTGGTTTGCAAATTATCGAAAAATTCAGTATATCTAGATTTGGACAGATAATATCTTCGTATACATATATTCAAAATGTTGATTATACTTTAAATAATAACAACTGTTTTGGAATTTTTACTGTTTGTCAATATTATTAAAACCGTCATTTACATTTGTATACACGAGACATTCGATGAGAATCTAATCGAACTTGTAATTAAATTTGTCATTAAATAATGAATTGTTTTGAAATACCAAAGCTTTATTGAAAATAAATTATTTGCTGGAAAAGAATTCTTGTATTCTAATATAGTGAAAGATGTTGTTGAATATCCATTCTCTTTTACAAGACAAATAATATCGCGTTAATTTCTCTGTCAAAGTAAATATCAATCATAATGAATATTTTCATATATTTATCCGAAATATCGTTTTGTTCAAACAGAGATCGAACAGTTGAAATCCAATGTTTTCTTCTTCTCCTTTTCAAATCAACGTTACCAAACAAAATAAAAATCATTAAAACACCTATGTAGGTGTACTGGCGTCTATTCATTTTGTTTCGATTTGATCTGCATATTTACACCAATAAATACAAATATTTTTTTTATATCAAAACGAATGTATATTATATTTCTCTTGTACTGATTACAAAGTAATATTGAAGTGATAAACAATATCAAAAGTATCAGCACTAATAATGTTATCGCTGCTAAACGTTTTTGATTTTTTTCAGACTTTTTCATTCATATGCGATGATATGCCAGGCTTTTTTTAAAGAAATGTTTCTATTTCTCTCTTGTTTTACAGGTAAATCTTGTTGGCTTTTGTTTTTTTAAAGATAAAAGACAGCACACACACATTTACATATCATCTTAGTTTCGCTGGGTTAGATACAGAATATGTGTTATTTATTTTTTATAATTTTAGTCTCGTTAGGAGTCGTACAAAAATAGTGTCATAATTTTCAAAAATTCGTTTTTCTTCCATCCTATTATCTCTCTTGTCGAAGATCTTTTTAACGGATGGTGAAAAAGTTATACATTAATTTTATTTGTTCCATATCTCTGTGTAGAAACATTGTAGAGAGCCAAACATTTTTGAAAGGTAGTCTATGATCTCTTCTACAAACATTGTTTAGAAAACATTTTACTTGAACCTATTGGCTTTAACTACATGAAAAGGGACATGAAATTGCGATTGATTTTATGGTTTATCAATTTGTGATAAGAAATCTAGTTGTATAGGTTGATGACCGTTCACGAACACTATAAAATAGCATATAAACGTTCTTCCTTATCTAATATGTTTTTCAAAAAAAAACAATCATCTGGTTGATTTAAGCTCGAAATTTTCATGGCTAATCTATAAAATCATGTTAAAAGATTCATTTCAAAACATATGGTGTCTAAACTGTACTAATTGTTCGAGATAACAAAAATTGTACTGTTAACACTGATGATTTTGCCAAACTTAACAACGCATAAGTTTTTTCCAAAATGCGATCGACAGAATTTTGAATATACAAACTGCTCATATATTTGAATTTCAAACAATCTCTTGTTCGACAGAAGAAAAATCAGAGCGCATTTTTTCAAAAAGGCTGCGGAGGGATCTTTTAGTCGATAGAAATGTTATATCTATAAAAGTACTTTAGTAGGCATACCCTTACCTCTCCCCCAATAATAGAAAATCTCCTCTCATATCATGTTCAAGCGTCAAAAGTTTCAGAAATGGTCTTCTTATATGGAATAGACATCTATCAGGGTGTGGATAGGTGCGTGCGGGTGAAGGTGGATGTAGATGCTCTTTAAATCCACACTCACATACCCACACCCACAACCTGAAATTATATAATAAGGGTGTAGGTATGGGTGTGGGTGTGGGTGTGGGTGTGGGTGTGGGTGCGGTTGGGTGTGGGTGTGGGTGTGGGGTGTGGGTGTGGGTGTGGGTGTGGATGTGGGTGGGTGTGGGTGTGGATGTGGGTGTGG